TTTTACAATTCCTTCCAGAACAATAAAAAACTGCCAAAATGTTTAAAAGTATCAGCAAGATTAGAATTTAAATGAAATTGTCTCAAAGGGGGATATATACAAGAACACAACATTTGAGCAGATTCATATAATGGGAATTCTGTTGCACTGTGTTACATTTTACAAAGTAATTATAAACATTCAGCAGAGTTTCTTACATATGTGAATTCCTCTTACAATTTTTGTATCAACTTCCCTGAATTAACAGCTACTCAGTTTTAGGCAATAGGTCAGTGATGGCTAACCTTTTTGCTGTTGCATGCCAAAAGCGGGGGGGAGTGGGGTGGTGGTGCATACATGTGCCCACACCCATAATTCAATGTCCCCCGTGCTCCGCCCCCCCATGGATGCACACATGACCCCGTGCTCCCCCCACTTTTTGCATGTGACGGCAAAAAGGTTACTGGTGGGCCCAGTAGGCCTGTTTTTTCGCCCTCCCCAGGCTCCAGAGGCTTTCTTGGAGCCTGGGGAGGGCGAAAACGGCCTTCCCCATCCCCCTGGAGGCCCTCCAGAGGCCAAAAACGGCCCGTTTCCTGACTTCCGGTGGGTCAAGGCCTGGAAATCAGTTGGCTGGCGCGAACTAGGGCAACACTCGCGTTCTCACAGATATGGTTCCGCGTACCATCATGGCAATAGGTCTTACTAGAGAAAAACCTTCAGCTCTTACTTCTTTTTAATCTAATTCAACTCCAGTGCCTATTTTCCTTCTGCTTCCCTTTAATATAAACTAGCCCCCATTTTCTCCTATAATAAATCTCACAAGGAATCTGTCCCAGTTGTTATCCTCAACCTAGTGTTGAAATCGCCCAAAATGATGAATTTGTCACTGTCTAAGCTTATTCAAATAATTTGATTCAGGTCTTCATAGAAAGCTTTCTTGTCTTCAAATGTGCTAGTGAGAGTTGGTAAATAGGTGCTGACAATGGTTATATACCAGGTTTTGCTGAGAGGAAAGAGAAACTTCATGAGGCATTCATTTATTCCAGGCAGAGTAGAGTTCTTCAGCAGAGCAGTTTTGAATACAAAACTGCTCACTATTCAGTGAGTCCTGTTATCAGTCTATTTTCCTTTTCCAAAAAAACTCACTTGCAACTTCCTGTTATGAACCTTCATCTGCCAACCTATCTCACTGAGTGCAGCAAAGTCATTGCTATAATAGCAAAGTTGGGCTGCTATGAGCATTGTTTGTCTTTCAGGCCATAGCACCTTGTCTCTATCAAACAATGTATGGATGCTCCAGGCTCCAAAAATGAGTTTTCTTTGATTTTTTTCCTCTTGATTCTTGACTGTTAAGGGGATGATCTGCTAGCTATGATTAACTAGCCAGATGTTGTTGAGGGGCAAGCAATGTTTAGATACCTTTTCTAACCCCCTCCCTTATATGAAGGTGAACACTGCTATCTTAAAAGGTCTGTCAGTTGCCCTTGAGATTCCTTATTTTACAATTAGAAAATAATTAATTCGGAGATAAATTTGTAAAGATGGTAGAAAAAATATATTCAACTCAAACGGCAAAGATAGCAATAAATGGAGACATTACCGAACAATTCACAATAGCAAAAGGAATGAGACAGGATTGTCCTCTATCCCCATTACTATTTATCTTAACACTAGAGATACTGTTAAACAAAATTAGAAGTGAAAATGAAATAAAAGGATTGGAAATAAAAAAAGAGGAATATAAAGTCCAAGCCTTTGCCGATGACCTGGTCTTCATCTTAGAACAACCAATACTGTCAGGACCCAAATTAATAACGCAAATAGAGAAATATGGAAAAGTAGCAGGACTTAAAATTAATAAACTCAAAACAAAGGCACTAACAAAAAACCTTACCAAGCAGCAGGAGAAAGAATTAGAAGACAAAATGGGTATCCAAATGAAAAAAAAATTAAAATATTTAGGAATATGGTTAACAAATAAAGGTTCATCGATCAAAGATGACAACTATAATAAATTAATATTACAGATAAAGAAAGACTTGGAAATTTGGAGCAAATTACAATTATCCTTTTTAGGAAAGATAGCTTCGATTAAAATGATTACTATTCTTATTTCCTTATTTCCCATAAAATTAGGAAAAAATTTTTTTTAAGATCTAAATAAATTAATAGCAAACTATATCTGGCAGGGAAAAAGATCAATAATCAAAATACAATCATTGCAAGATAATAGAGAAAGAGGAGGATTTGGACTCCCAGATTGGTAAACATACTATAAAGCATACTATATGGATCAAAGACTGGATGGGACTATGAAATAAAAGAATTTTAACATTAGAGGGATATGATTTGCAGAGATGGTGGCACACCTTTTTATGGGAAGGAAAAAATAGACAACATAACTATTTTCAGTGACACTTAATCAGAGATGCACTATTACAAATATGGCAAGGGATAAAAAAGAATCATTACGATAAAATTCCAGAATGGTTATCCTCAATGGAGGCACAAATCTACCCAAATGCATTAGACAGCAACAAAATGAAAAGATATAAAGATTTGTTAAATAGTCAAGGGGAATTGAAAACAAGGCAGGAATGAAAAGAACAGGGTACATACATTGATTGGTGGCCTTACATGCAAATAAAATCTAGATATAAGACAGATTTGACACAATATGGATTCCAAAGAGAAGTATATGAATTACACAAAATCCTCCAAGGTACAGAAAGTAAATTGATCAAAAAAATTTACAATTATTTATTAAGACACAAATTGGAAGAGGAGGTAGTTAAAGAAAATATGATAATTTGGGTGAAAAATTTCGGATATAACATTGAATTAGATAAATGGGAGAAATTATGGAACAAAAATTATAAACTGACAATGTCTGTATCCTATAAAGAAAATCTGTATAAAATGTTTTACAGGTGGCACTTGCCACCAGCCAGATTGGCAAAGATGTTTCCCAATACCTCACCAATGTGTTGGAAATGCAAATAGAAAAAGGGAACATATTACCACATGTGGTGGTCCTGCCACAAAGCGAAACAATATTGGAGTAGAATCAGATCACAATTAGAAGAAATAACCAAACAAAAGAGAGAGAGGAGGCCAGAAACATTTTTATTAGGAATACTCCCAGGGTCATACGAAGCACTCCATGGCTTAGGACCTGGATACTTACAGGACCGCCTGCTGCCACCAATAGCCTCTCACCGGCCAGTACGCTCTCATAGAGAGGAGATCCTCAGGATGCCGTCGGCCAAACAGTGTTGGCTGGCGGCCCCCAGGGGGAGAGCCTTCTCTGTGGGGGCACCTGTTATTTGGAATGAGCTCCCCCCGGAGATACGGAGGATCCCGGATTTACGCACCTTCCGCCGCACCCTCAAGACCTTTTTATTCCAACAGGCTGGCCTGGCCTAACTTTCCCTTTTAAATGGTATATGAGAAATTTTAAATTTGTTTTAAATATGGGGATGTTTTTTAATTCGTCTCGGGCCAAATTGTTTAATACGTTTTTATACTCTTTTAAATTTTATAATCTGTATGTTTTATCTTTTTGGCTGTTCACCGCCCTGAGTCCTTCGGGAGTAGAGCGGCATATAAATCTAATAAAATAAATAAATAAATAAATAAAAAGAAATACAATATTTAATTATCCATATTACCACAGCAGCAAGAATAATCTACGCTCAGATTGGAAAAATGATAATATACCATCCGAAGATAATTTGATCAGAAAAGTTTTGGAATGTGTGGAGATGGACAAATTAACAAAGGAGATACAAGAAAAAGAGGAAACAGAATATTACTTAGTGTGGGAGAAATGGTATGAATGGTTGGAGGAGAGAGATAAAAGGAAGGGAAAAATTAAATAATGGTCGAAATAGGAGTTGAAGTATAATTGCTAATCTGAGGAAACAAAAATTGTAGAAATGAAAGTGGGTACACGGTTATTGTTATGTATATATGTAAGTAAATAAATATATATTAGAAGTATATGAATAAAAGATATAGTAGAAATAAGGGAGGAAAAAATGTATAACTATGAAATTTTTGACTGATGCGAGACTGTTGAAACTTTTTGTTTTTTAAAAAAATGTTTAATAATTTTTTTTTTGCCAGTTGCCCTTGATGTTGCCAGACATTTCTGCTGCCCAGGGTACACAAATGAACGACCAAGGCACATAATGAAATATGAAATACAAAATGGATAGAGTAACAGTATCTTGAAACAGAGTCAGCTGCCAGACAACAAGCAAGCTGCAAGCTACATAGCTGATTAGTGTTAATTGAAAATTCTCAAAGAAAATGTAAACTAGAAAGATTCAATCAGTGCCTTTGATCAGAGAAATAAAATAATTACTGCTGCAATTGAAGAGAGGCTTGCTATTTTGCTTACTATGTTCCATGCTGATATGTGTTGAAAAATGGGCTTTTCAGTCAAATAAAGTTAAAGAAACATTTATAGTACATTATAAGTTTCTTTTAAACAGGTTCCACTGTATATAATCATTCTTCCTCCTTAGTTTGCAGTATTTTAAAAAGTATTAAAAGGACTTTATTATCTGCAGTACTTTTGAACACTAACATCCTTGGTCTACTATTCAATATTTTATTCGCAAATGAGAGAAGGCAAGACATTTTACATGCTATCTAACACATCCTGGATATTGTATGAAAACTATGCACAATGCATGAAGATACTGCCAATTTAATCTGGTTTACTCATTGATACAAACACCAAATTTTATAGCACTATTTATAGTGATGGCAAACATAATGTTAAGCTATACTTCTGGTCATGTTCTGGGGGAATAAAGTATATAATAAGGAATATATGCAAACCAATACAAGAAATGTAATAAAATATGGATTATTAATATAAGACCTCTTCTTAAGAAGGATTCTTTAAGATATTTCTTTCCCAACAAGAAATTTTGCTTGTTTGTTATATACAAGCTGTTCTTAATTTTATCCTACAAACAATAGTATTATCAACCATTCTTTCAGCTAACCTTCTGGCGTCCTTTCGTATAGGGATCATCTGGACGTTCCAACGGGGGATTTACTTTGACTCCCATCTTTCTCAAGAAATTTTTAGTGAACTGATCACAGTCTATAATTTTATATCTTTGGTCATAAAATATCACATCAGTGTCAAGGTTGAAATAATCAACAGTATAAAACTGATCTTCATTAGGAGGCGGGAGTGGAATCCGATGGCGCCTAAGAAGTGTTCCTATATTGAAGAAAAACACAATTAATATAACTTACTCCAAACTGGAACTTTGTATTAACATTATTCACATGAAATCTCAAAACAGTTACATGGTAACAGAAATTTCACCTGAAATATTAAATAGGATGAATTTAAAATCAATTTAAACAGCGACCTTTGGACTGTGCCACTTGAAACTTGTATCTGAGGATTTCTCTCAGAAAATCATCGATAAAAACAGTATATCAGGGTTTTGTTCCTTTATATATTATTACTATATGCATTCAGAATTCTGAATGCAACTTACAGAATTTTGTGCCTCTAATTCCAGTAGCTTACTAGGTAAAGATGTAACGTTTCAAACAATTACCGTATTTTAGCATTCCTTGTTTGAGATTACCCTCAATTTACAACAGTTTGTTTAGTGACTGTTTGAAGTTACAATGTGACTTATGACCATTTTTCACACTTACAACTATTGCAGTATCCCAATGGTCGCATGATCAAAATTCAGACAATTGACTCATATTAATGACAGTTGCAGCATCCCGGGGTCATGTGATCACCTTTTGTGGCCTTCTGATAAGCAAAGTCAATAAGAACCAGATTCACTTAATAACTGTGTTACTAACTTAAAAACTGCATTGATTCACTGTGGCAAGAAAGATTGTAAAATGGGGCAAAACTCACTTAACAAATTTCTTGCTTAGCAACAGAAATTTTGGACTCAATTGTGGTCATAAATTGAGGACTACCTGTACTAGATATTTCTTAAAGTAAAGACATTTATTTTCTTAAAATCCAATAAATATCACTATAAATCCTTGCTTTCTGGCCATCATTGTCTTACCAGGTCAGGTTAAATCTCGTATAAGTTATGTCTTCTGATTTCTTGATGGATTTGTTTTTTTATTTGTCACTAGTGCCATAAATATGGTGGTTTCCCTCTTAATAGTTAATGTTAACTGTTATTCTGTTCCTGTGCATACTTATTTAAAATCTTACTTCATTAAATAGGATTTATTTAAACACATAAAACCACAATACAGATTTCTGTTTTTCTGCAATCTTATCAAATTCTGAAATTAGAAGACCACCTATAAACTTGTTCCAGAAAACTATCCTTAGCTGAACAATTTTCTCTCAAAATACATTCAAACACAATTATACCAACAGCACAGCAAATGAACTAAAATACCTCTGCTTTACTTTCCCTCACAACCCTCTCCTTTTGTATCTATTGTATAGTGTGCATCTTCAAATCAGTGCTGATTCTAATAAGTACATGAACTATGCAATTTTCTTGGCAATATTTTTCAGAAGTAGTTTGCCATTACCTTTTCCCTAGGACTGAGGGACACAATTGACCCTAAATCACTAAATCATTTTGGACCTAAAGGATCCATAGTGTCTCAGTTTCTAGCACATTGTCTTTAGCAAAACCATAAAAATTAATTGAGATTAGGTTAGGGTTAAGGTTTGGAAAGAAAACACAAAACATGGGATGAATACTGCAAGCAGAAATGCTGGATTATCCTTAACCAGATGATCAAGAGACGACTCCTCCTGAGGCTTCATTAGTTTTTTATCTAGCTATCATACAAGGTGGTGTTACAGCTGTATTAAAAATATCAGAAATATTACTATAGATCTTATACTAAAAACTAAAAGCAAATAAACAAAAATGGTTTTCTTCATTATAACTGAATGAAAAAAGGATTTCCTTTCTGAAAAAAAATGCAACTTTTCCTTTTTGTGTTCATAAACATTATTAGGTTTAGCATAATAATGTAATTTTTTTACTGATAATATGTCATCAACTTTAAACCGTTGACTCTCAAAGGTAAAGGAAATTTAAACTCTATATTTTCAATTTCAGATTTAAAACACAATTATAATTCATATGAAATATCATTTCTATAATTCACACTTAAATCTAATCACAGGACCATCACAAAATTATATTGGGAAACTATATACTGTATATTGCAACAAATAGTGGCCTATATCACTAAATTTTATATGGTGGCTGAAGCTCAACATAATTAAGTGGTTCTTGACTCTCAGAAAATTTATTAGGCAAGCAAAAGAAAAAAAACTCTCAGAACAGAAAAAATAACTGTTAAAATAATTATCATTGGAATGGCTTGCCTTCCGAAGTTGTGTGTATTCCATTACTTTTTTAGGTTTTTAAGAAGAGATTGGACAACCATTTGTCTGAAATGGTATAAGGTCTCCTGCTTGAGCAGAGGGTTGGATTAGAAGACCGCCCAAGATCCTTCCAACTCTATTATTCTGTTAAAACATTTGCAATAAAAAAGATATAAAATACCTTGTAGAATTCCACTATTCTTCACTTGGGGTTCAACAACCTGAATTGTGTCATCTTCAAGATAGAAATATATTTTACAATGTCTTATTCTAAACAGCTCTTGATTTTTGTCAGGAACTTCTTCATCAAAATAAGCACTAAAAGACAATACCTACATAAAAGCAGAGACAGAGAAAATCAATTCTAGTACTACTACTACTACTACTACTACTATACACACACACAGTATATGCATATGGATACACATGTACACATTGGAAAAGTTGGATTCTAACAAAGAACTATACTATTTTGTATTTATTATGGAGATATTTTAATTAGTTGTATTGATTTTTTATAGGATCATAACACTGGAATTGATCTGATTATACAATTGATTATTTATCCAGATTCTTACATTTAGATATGACACAAATAAAATAGCTCAACAATCTAAGAATGAAAATCAGTATTAAATTTTCCTATTTCTGAAGGGAGGGAGGGAGGGAGGAGTAAAATCAACAGAAAATCCCGATGTCAACAACTTTTTTAATTGTCAGGGACATAACAACAGAAATTATATTTTTTTTAAAGGAACTCTATTGAATGCCACTCTGTCTGATTGTCCTGATACTGTAAACACATGGCTATCCAAATTTTCTGGTTTTGTAATATTCATTGGAAAATAAATTATTTAAAACTGTCTTAATATGATGGCATATATTTTTTGTAGTGCATGCAATCAGCATGGCATACTGCAGAAAGAAGAGATCCTTTAGCATGCTTTACTGAAAGAATACCAAAGCATGTTCTGCTATCAAGATAAGAGGGACAGCAGCTATGTAGGCAAGAAAAAGATTATGAAAGGTAGAGTCCTGTCTGAATTTACCCTTAATGATAGATTTAATCTTCTAATTACACAGGCTATACATAGTTAATTAAACATTGTGCAGCTATCATTACCAATATCAAATGGAAATAATCACAAGCCTCATCAAGAAAAATGTTCATATTAGCAAGGAAAAAAATTGTAGATGATACTTTCTGGTAATTCAAATCTCTGAATTTTTGAAATGTCCTTTTTTTCTTGTAAGTATATAGCTTTGGAAACAATTTAACACCATCTGCCTAGTGTTTGGCAGGTATGTGCTGATATTTATTCTCCTTTTTTCAATAAAATTAATAGAAATTCTATACCAAGGAGAAAAAAACATGGTGGTAGACAGGGAAAATGGAGATTAGCCAAATCCTGGGGGCACTGCAGGAAACTGAATTATGTTTGGCTTGCTTGGACAATACAGTTTAATGAACATGTTTTATAAGGAATATTTTCAAGCATGAATTGTCCCATTTGTGACTTAACTATTTAATATCCTAATCCACAGTCCAGCTAAGTAATTTTATTTGGATTTATATGAATTCTGTCCCACAGGGTTTTTTTCAGACTGGGAAATGATTTAATTTCAAAACACTTTGGCTGAACTAGTTTGTAAATCATGCTGCAAACATTACATTCATGTGGCAAGCATTACACAAACAGAAAACTAAGATTATCATTTTATGTGTTATTATTATGCATGAAATGCAAACCTTTCTCTAATCATCATAATCCTTCAATTTGTATACTTTGAAAATATAAAATTAGGAGTAAAAAGAATAGTATGTGAGCATTTCACATGATACAAACTCTTAAATGCTGGATTACAAATGGAATACTTCTGTCTATATAAAAAATAAAAAGACCTACAGGATCTGGCTAAAGGCTTATCTTGTCCAGCATTCTGTATAACACATGGTCAACCAAACACATTTTGGAAAGAAGCATGGACAAGGGGGTAATAGCCCTTTTCCATTGTTTTCTAGTAGTCTGTAATTAGAGTGTGTGATTGGAGCAAGATCTGAAAAGCAAGACAGTAAATTGGATTAAACTGTTTGGCAATCCTGGATCAGAGGGCTTGCTAATCACAGGAAGCATAACAGTCTGTTTCCAATCATCCAAGCTAGAGTGTGAAGGTACAGAAATATGATTTGTGATAGACCATTACCTAAATAACCCCACAATAATCTTGCAAATTAAATCAATTTCTAAGGTACTAAATGCATTCATAGTACTGTGAGTTTTTCTAAATTTATAATTTAATTACTTTCTGTCAGAACTTTATAGTCAAAATCCCAAGCTAGATGTATCCTTAATATTTATTGCACAAGAGGAGGTAACACTGGAGATACAACTAATATTTATAAAATTCATAAAATCTATAAAACAGCAAATGTATGCCAAGTGTGCTTTTGCACATAGCGAATCCAGGATAACAAAACTCTGATTTGCTTACAAATTCAGTAGAATAAATGAATTGCAGAGATGAAGCAAGTAAGAAGAATCTCTGGTCAATTGGACTGGACATTTTTTTTATCTGAATAAATCTGTTAAATTTCATCTAACAGTTTGCAAGGTTGGAGTGTACAGTTTTTAATTATATAAATGACTTGTGAACAACACACACCAACACAGACTAGAAGTTATGTATACATAATTAAAAACTGTTGAAGAGCGCTAGAAGATTTGACTTCTAACTGTCCCTGCAGGCACTTCAGAGGTGGGTTTCAGCAGGTTCTGACCAGTTCTGGAGAACCAGTAGTGGAAATTTTGAGTAGTTCGGAGAACCGGTAGTAAAAATTCTGACTGGCTCTTCCCCCATCTATTCTCTGCCTCCCAAGTCCCAGCTGATTGGGAGGAAATGGGGATTTTGCAGTATCCTTCCCCTGGAGTGGAGTGGGAATGGAGATTTTACAGTATCCTTCCCCTGCCACGCCTACCAAGCCATGCCACACCCACCAAGCCACGCCCACAGAACCAGTAGTAAAAAAAATTAAAACCCACCACTGAGGCACTTCTATATGTTGTCCAACCTCCAAAATGTTTTGTGTATATAGTCCAATAGCACAGAATTTGTCTAGTAGCCTGGCCAGATTTCAATAACTCAATAGCAAAGACTTCCACCAATTCTGGACTATTCTCTTCATTATTAGAAATTCCTCCTCTTCATCCCATCTGATGTGCAATGGTCAATCTCTGGCTCTCCCAAAATGCTTTTTATGGGGTACAATAAACTTTCTTCTTTCATTTTTTCAGTTAACTTATTTTAAGATCCAATTAATTACTGAAAATGAAAACACACACAAAAAACAGCAGCAGATCAGTGAGAAAAAACTAATCAATTACCTGTTTATCAAATGCTACCCATGAAGGTGCATCACTTCCAACGCCTCTAGGAAATACACTATACTTTGGTTTTAGTTTTTGTCCAAGCAAAGGTTCTCCTCCTATTCCAGGTTTGTCTTCTCCCACCAACATAGAAACCTTATTGCAGTAACTCCAATGTTGAGATTTATGGAACTTTTCTTTTCCTAGCTGCAATCAAAATGAAATAAATAGAAGAGAATTATTAAAAAAAAAAAGGAAAAGAATGTTTTAAATATACAAAATAATTTATACAATAATTATTCAAATCCATAAAACTCTGAAGAAACCTGAGTGGCAGTCAGTTTTATTATCAGTGATGAAATATTGTATGTTTTCAATCACATTTAAAGATAAAGGTGGGGCAAGACTGCATAATGTTAAGAGTCCATCTTAATACTGTGCCTTAGCTTTACAAGAACCAATGTCAAAATTTATCATGTAACAAAACACAGACCTGACTTTGCAGATTTAAAGTGCTACTTCTGTAAATAACAATGGGAATGGATATGCTCTGTGAAAACATACATATACATTTTAATGATCTCTTATTTTCTCTCTCTCTCTCTCTCTCTCTCTCACACACACACACACACACACACACACTCACTCACACACACATATGCAATAGTGACTTAAGAAACTACTAAAATTATGGAGTGCTGGTGGTGCAAGAGGCAACTTCTATGGAGGTACTTCTGAAACATTTAATTGTACCATGGCTCTAAAAAAACAGAGGAAAAAGTGGACAGCTACACTTTGGGTAAATTCAAATATCAAATAAGGATAGGAGTACTGGAATAAGTTGGCTTTTTTAAGTATAAGATATTTTTATATCTGCATAGATGAATAGCAGACCAAGGAATGATGTTGGCTGAATCTCTAACCTGCACTGCCAATCAGTTGTAAAATCCTTCTCAATATAAGATTTAGCCATATCCTTATATCAGAAAGCATTATACACTAAGAAAGGCAGGGTGTATACATATACATATACATATACATATACATATACATATACATATACATATACATATACATATACATATACATATACATATACATATACATACATACATACATACATACATACATACATACATACATATATATATATATATATATATATATATATATATATATATATATACACAATATCCTGCCAATTTTAGCAATGAAAGAAGAGTGAAAATACAAAACTGATTCATCCACCTTCTCTGTCGCCTGGGTGCAGACAGAGCTCCTGTTTCGTCACCCCATATTTCTAGCAAGGACTCCCAATAATCAGGTTTAGCCTTTTCTTTACCCAGATGATGCAGGTCCAGGAAGCAAGCCGGGATTATACCACATTGACGAATCCTATAAATAATCTGAGACTTGACCAAAGACAGAGTTTGAGTCTGCCTTCTGAAGGGAAGAGATTCTTTCTCTGGTTGGACGGCAGTTATTGGGCATTTAGAATTAGTTTCACGAACGAAGTTTACACACGTGCATAGGTATCCCCGCAAAACATTCTGTAAACCTAAATTTAGAGAGCCCCCGGTGGCTCCTGGATCTTACTCAACATTACTTACATTCCTGTTGAAAGAGTTCCCGGGCAGGAGCGGTAGCGCCATAGTTGTGCCGGTCCTGCCTGCCGCGCCCCCCGCCGCCTCAGGGCTGGTGTTGCTGCCCGAACCTGGCTGACCGCCCTCCGCGCTACCAAGGCCGAAGGAAGCGCAGCAGCGCTGTTTGGAGTCCAGTTGCCTGGAGACCCCCATTTGACGTCACATAGGGTGGCGGGGAATAGTGCGTTCGCTTCGCCCCTGCTCTTTGCTGCCCCCTGCAGACACAAGACTCTGCCGCAAAACCTGCTTGGGCTGTTGGCTCGCGCTTTGCTGTTGAGTTATGCGAAGTTCCATCTACGGGACTCCTAGGAAAGGTCTTTCTTCCTTTTCATCGTGCATATCCAAGGGATTGTTGCCATCCCAGGTCACAAATTAATTAAATGGACATTTTCATTGACATAGGCCAATTCTTGAAAATGGACATAACAACAGGTAACCCTTTTATTATATTATAGCTTACAGTTACTTATTGTGGTGCCTCACTATATTACCAATATATTAGGTGGTATATGAAATACAGCTAACTTCACTTCGGAAATTCGGATTTCGAAATTCTTCCATTTTTATTTTAGGAGGCATCTACCACCTTGGGAAAGTCTCCCCCCCCCAAAAAAAATCTGGAACTCCTGAGTCTAAAATTCTGTCAGCACTGATTTTGCTTTTTGTTTTCTGTTCACTCCATGAGTGGCGAGATAATACCTCATCAATCAGTCCTGCAGGGAATGATCATTGTTCTTTTGTGTATATTTAACTAAAATTTGTTATACACATTTAGGAGTATAAGTCTTTTTGAAATGAGTAGGATAATATCAACTAAACATCTTAGGGTGATTTATTAAACTGTAATATAATATCATTCACTAAATTCAGTTATATATATTTGTCTATACTCACCTGTAGCCTGAGAAGTGTAGATAGTTTGTTTCATTTTCACATTTGATGAAGTAAATACTAATCCCCAATTTGTTCCTTATCTAATATCTTGATTTCAAATTGGAATTACATAACCTAGCACCTTTCCTGATGTGATTGGCTGGTATTCTATAATCCTTTGTCTTTTTAAAGTATTTAAAACAGCACAAACATGATGAATTCAGCCACATACTCCATAATTTAATTCACCTGCAAATGGACAGCAGTTTTCTGGTGACATATCAATGTGTTTGTGTGAAAATTCTTGTGCAAGAAGAAAAAATATTTTATATTGGAATGCATGGAATCTTTATCTCCATCATGTTGACCTTACAGCAGGCCACTGTTCAGTGTATAGTTGTATATCTGGGTAACATCTAGACTCAATTTGTTGGCCTTTTAAAATATAATCAATTACTGGTATGATTTAAGATCCCTGCTTGAAACATACTTTATGCTACTTGTATCTGGTGTTTTTGCCAACAACATGAATTGTGAATAAAAACCAAAAATTAAGCCATTGTATAACTGGCACAGCTTCCTGGGAAATCATTTTCTTTCCTCTCCTCTACCTATACCCAGAGCCTTGGTACTACAGTGGTTTAAAGCACCCTGTTATTAACACAGCTGCCTGCAATTTACTGCTGGTTCGAATCTCTCCAAGGCTCAAGGTTGACTCAGCCTTCCATCCTTTCTAAGGTAGGTTAAATGAGGACCCAGTTTGTGGGGGCAATAAGCTGACTTTGTATAAATATACAAAAGTATGAAGGCTATTGCTTAACGCACTGTAAGCTGCCCTGAGTCTTCGGAGAAGGGCGGCATATAAATCAAATTAAATATATATATATATATTACAAAGAGATAATGTTGAGTGACATGAAGCTAGCAGTAGCTGCTTCCCTATTCAACTGCTATCGCAACACTATATTTCCTTTTTATCAATTACTTTCTTAGCAGCTAGGCTTATTTTAAACTTATTTTATACTTATTTTTTATACTTATTTTATACTTATTTTATTCAGAAATGGTGTAGGGTCTCCTGCTTGGGGGGGTGGGGTTGGACTAGAAGGTCCCTTCCAACTCTGTTAATCTGTTAATCTGAGTCTATTTGCACAAATTTTGTAGTGTGTAAGGCCTCACATTTTGTTCTTCATACAATTTCTTTGTGAAAAGACAATCTTCAATTTATCTACAGTTCAATTATTGTGTCTTTTCAAAAGGAAGCCAAGAGAAATAAGTCTCTTTCTTATATCATTGATTACCATTTTTGTAGCCAGTTGATAATGGAATAGAAGTAAACTCTAGTTTATTTATTTAATTTATTATTCATATTCTATGCCACCCACTCTCCGAGGACTCTGGGCGGCTTACAACAAAGACAACATGAACAACATATTGCCCCCAACAATCTGGGTCCTCATTTTACCCACCTCGGAAGGATGGAAGGCTGAGTCAACCTTGAGCCGGTGAGATTTGATCTGTTGATCTGCTGAACTAGCAGTCAGCTAAAGTAGCTGCAGTACTGCACTCTAACCACTGCGCCACCTCGGCTCTTTTTACAGCTTCTTTGTTAAAAATAAATTGACTGAATCAACCAAACTCTTTTATAAACAATGCCAACTTGGGAACCAATAATTTAAAAATGCACATCAGTTGTCATTTAATTTTATTCAAAGTTTAGTAAACAAATGTTGGTATCCTTTCTGTGTATCCTTTGTGCTTACTACAAATCCTTTTTCTTTTCCATATCAAGACCAAAATATCTTAGTTCTTTATTAACAAGCAAACCTTCTGTATTCTACATATTTTCAAAATGCCACTTGCAAATCGCTTTATAAACAAAAAGAGGTTTAGTGGATTTTATTTGCTGGTCTATTTTGCAATAGAAAAATTTTGTGGTAATTTCTACCTGAATTGTAATTTGGCCAGTATTCATTCCTATATGAATAAATATAGCAGTGACCAAAGATTTTAAAAAATCATTATTTCATTCTGCCTAATAAAGATTGATTCATGATAAAATTACATTGAACTAGTCACAACATATGTAATACATCAAACAAATTCATAACACATGAATTTAACTCACAAAGACTAAAAAGTATACACACATACATACAATACAGGCAGGGAGGTGTATATCAATTGAACAAAAGAAAAATAAGGAGGTTGATAGCAAAGTATTTTCTTCCCTTTTGAGGCAACTCAGAGGTGAATGGAATTTTTACTGCTCCAGATTTGGCAGTAATTTGGGACAGGAGACAGTGTTTTGCATTCTCCTATAGGTTCAGCCAGAGGGAACATTGATTGGTTCATGGCCTTCTGAGCATCTTTTTTTTTTTTTTGCTTCACATTTTTTATTTTATAACATATAAAAATTCCATTTTCAGTGTGTTGTCTGGGTAAAAATAGTTTTAGGAAATAATCAAAATGTTTACAACAGTATTCATTACAATAACAACAACAACAACAACAACAACAACAATAATAATGGACTTGAAAAATGTGCTATATTATCCATGCAGCAAGGAAAAATGGAAAAAACAGAAGGAATAGAACTGGGAAATGGAAACATAGTAAAAGCATTAGCAAAGGATGATGGTTACAAATACCTAGGCATATTGGAAGCAGATAACATCTTGATTGGAAAAGTCACAAAGAGTCGAGACAAAAGGAATACATCAGGAGGGTCCACAAAATATTAAAATCAAAGCCGAATGCTGGAAACATAATTAGATGGCCCTCCATCATTGTCAGAGGTTTCTGTTCGACAGGCACGTTCTAGTGCTCACAGACAATGTTGTTACAAAGGTGCACATAAAACATCAGGGGGGCACCAGGTCCAAGTCCCTGATGTTGGAGGCCAAGAGACTGGGGCTTTGGGCAGAGTGACACCTTTGCTTCTTGATGGTGGAGCATATCTCCGGGGTGTTCAATGTGCAGGCGGGGACTGGCTGAGTTGACAGGCCATCAACCACTCAGAGTGGCGCCTGCACCCATCGCTCTTCAGGGACCTGATGGCCCATTCTGGCATCCCAGAGGTGGACTTGTTTGCCAGACAAGTGAACGGTCAACTTCCGGGTTTCTTCTCACAGTATCCAACATTACAAGTGGAGGGCATGGATGTTCTCCAGTCCCCATGGCCAAAAGGGCTCCTCTATGCGTTCCCTCCGCTGTCCCTCATTCTGAGAGTGGTATGCAAGATTCTACAAGAACAAGCAGAGGTCGTTCTTCTTGCACCTCATTGGCCGAGGTGGCCGTGGTTCACCAACTTATTAACATTGTTGGTGGCCCCACCCTGGAGGATCCCTCAGGGCATGGCTCTGCTCAGCCAGGGGGCATTGGTCCACACGGATCCTCAGTGGCTCCAACGGACCACCTGGCGCTTGAGCGGCACACTCTGAGTGGGGACAACTTCTCCAGGGTCATCCAGACTATTCAAGCTTCCCAGAGGCCTTCTATGGAGTGAATTTATTCTGCCACTTGGCGGATATTTTGTTCTTGGTGTGAACAGGTGGGTGTTTTTCCCTTCCAGGCCTCGATAGCCCAGATCCTGGAATTTCTCCAGGACAGACTCGATAGTGGGCTATCACCCAACACTGTTGTGGTCCGCCAGCAGCCTGTGGAGCTGGCAGTGGAATCGGACAGCAATGAGGCTGAGGAAGAACATGGGCCAGTTCTGGAGGCTGGGGAAGGACCAGATGAGGGCTCTGCGTCGGAGGCAGAGATGGGGCCAGGGCCATCAGGGAGTGATGCACAGACTTCGGAGCCTCCAGAGGCTGACAGTACAGAGGCAGAGGAACAGGAAGAGCCTGTTTCTAGTGCACGTATGAGAAGAGCTGCCAGAAGGCAGGAGCAGCTAAAGCAGAGAGGACGACTCGGGAGTAGGGCCAAGAGATGATTGGCCCCTCCCATAAGGCTTAAAAGACGAGCAACGGCTCTTGGTCTCTTTGCCGGAAAACAACCATTGAGAGATTTGCTTTGTGTTTGGATGTATTTCTTTCTGGTCAGCGTCTTCTGTTCCTGAACTGTTGCCAAGAAAAGCTTTGGCACTTTGCCTAATTATCCCAAGGTCAGAGATAAACTGAAGAATGGTGTTTTGAGGACTTTGCTTTCATTTAATTCGGAATATGCTGAGAATGAGTTAATTCTCAGCTGTTTTAATAAAATCTGTCTGTTTTTTGGAACTGTT